CTCCACCTTGCGCACGTCAGCAGAACCACTATCGCCTCCGCGTCATCACTGACACGATCATGCTGCCGCAGTGCGCCGCCGCACGGCTCAGCCACACGTGGCCAGCCCTCCTCCGTCATCCTCCACCCCAATTGTCACCTCGGCTAGGTCCACGGTAGTCTACTGATGCTCCCTCGCTAGCCAGTTAGGTTCTTAGGTGCTCTAGATCACCGGGGCAGCTGCGCCATCGTCGAGGACGGTTGTGTGTCGCTGCAGCTCGCTCCAACTCGTCCCACCACCCGTCGCCGCCGCTTAGCGTAGCCACCAAGATCGGAGATGGTGATCGTCCTATTAGGTGGGTCCGCGTAGGTCCCAGGTGGCCGGCGTAGGCGCTCAGTGCCGCCGCTCATCGCGCCGCCGTGAACTGAGTTGCCGGGGGTACGCATGGGGGAATTCCAGAAAAGCCAGGGGGTTAAGTGAGAAGTTCTGAGAGAGGAGAAAATAGTGTTAGTATTTAGTTGTAATTCGAGAGAAGTGCGAGGTCTCTTTTACAAAATCGCCAGCGCGCGCAGGATTCCCCCGCCGCGGGCCGTCTCACGCTACAGGCCAGCCTCGCGTGGGCCATGCCTGTGGTCCACTGCGCACGCGCTGTGTCACGCGGGCCGCACGTGTGGGCCGCGAGTGTGGGCTGCACGGGAGGTTTCGTTATTCTTTTCCTATGGAATTAGAAATAGTTTTCTAATTTAATTTTTTAGCCAATCTTTGGTAAATCATATAAAATCATATAGGTGTTCAAAAATTATGAAATAAATTTTGTTAGGTTCCTAAAATTGTGCTCTATCTGTTAGTATATTTAGTTCATATATATACATGTTGATAATAGAAGCTATTAAATCATTTGAGAGTGCTTAATATTATTAGGTTAAATATTGTAGGAATTTTTGTGGTAAATTGGTGATAGCTTTGGTCCTGAAATTATTATGCTAGCTTCATTGTATTATTATGTGCTCACTGTAATTTTTATAGCTTTAGAATAGACTAAGCACTAGGGTAGTTAAATGCTCTTTGTTTCAAATATACGTTAAATCATTAGTAGAAATAAAGATATATCCTTCATTTGTAAAGCTAGGTGTTTGTTAGTTGAACCCAACACTTTGCTCGGTAAAGATGATAGTTAGCTTAGTACCTTAGTCATTAGAGCTAGCTTAGTAGCTTAGTATGTGTATTCTTAGTTTAGGAGTTGTTGTTTCCTAAATGCTAAGTGTTGTATCATCATCGCATGCATATAGAGAACGAGTTGGCAGAGATCGTGACCACCGGTGATCATGAGTTTGAGGAGATCGTTGAGGAGTACGAGAAGGAGATTCTTGTGCAGGAGGAGGTCTCGGAGCTGCCACTGACTGACTCAGCTGACATCGCGCCTGCCCAAAGCAAGCCCCGGTGGATAACCCTTTATTTTTTATAATCACTGTTTTTATATGTTATATGCATTTACGTTATAGGAATGTTATGGAAACCACATGCATAGATATAACTGTCCTATGAGTCCTACTAGTATAGGTTCGAGTAGCTGTTATGCTTAGGTTTTCGGTAGCGTGAGTAATCTATTGTTACTCACAATATGTGATTATTATTACTCTCATAATAAAATGATGAAAAGAAAATAGAGACTGGGCAGGGATATAGTATGTGTATTGGTGGGTGTAATAGGTTGTGTCCCGCGACCAACGGGGCTTAGCTTGGTTACACTATTTTTCCTGTTCATGTCGATTAAGGACCGACCGTTACTGTGGATGGTAGTCTGGTCACATACTTATTATCTTGAGCACATACTTGCTTATGGGAGAGGGAATGCTCGTTACGCTCTTGTCGTGGGTTCTGGCTCTTTCTGGATCGACTGATTGGAGGCGGAGAAAGGTGGAGGTCTAAGCACCATGCTGAGACCGGGTCTCAAGTGTGGGGCTTAGAGTCCAAGTTTGGACGGGGACCTGGACCCATGACAGGAGTGGAATGAGTTAGTCTTGTTTGTGCCTAGGGTACAAACGGGGTATGTGTTTCGGGGTACCCAGCTGGGATACATTGGTTCACGAATCGTTGTTTCCATGAGACGGTATGACTTGGCTATGGTCTAGCACCGTAGTAAGAATTGGAAGATGATAAAATGGTTTTGATTGCTTAACCCTAGTTTGAAAGTAGAACATGTGCTTACCTAGAATGGTTAGCTAATGAAGTAATCATGGCTGCTAATAAAACTTGACTGTAAAGATGAACTATTAGTAATCCTTTTCGCAAACAAAAAGAAAATTGCAAACCTATATTGCCTATCATACTCCTTGGAATCGGGAAACTATTCCCACTAGTCAGATAAGTCTTGCGAGTACATTGTGTACTCAGGGTTTATTTTACTCCTATTACAGGTGCAGCTTAAGGAGTAGCTCTTGTGTGGAGGATTCTTCTGGTGGGCACAGACGGATTCTTGTATCATTTCCGCTAGATGTTTATTTCCATTCCGCTGTTTAATTATCGCCCTCTAAACTCTGGTATTGTAATAAATAATTTTCAAGAACTCTTGCTATATGAAATGGACTAAGTATTGTAAGCTCATACTCATTATTGGATTCTGGATTAAAACGTGGATTGTTTCGAGTTCTCCCTTGGGGTGGGCTCGACGGAACTATCCGATGTAGCTAACTTTCGGGGTGCTTATTGTCTAGTGGAAGACGAGCGCTTCCGAAAGCGTGTTATTTCGGGCGGTTCTGCTACATTTCTCAAGTCGGCTTGAGAAGATCGAGCCTTTGACATGAATCTAACCAACACATCACCACCTTTGGATGTCTTGGCCACAACCTTTTTCCAAACATTATTGCATCGTTCCTCTCTATAAGATGTTCGTCGATGGGGTGCTTTACAACGTTGTGACCGTATCTCCTTCGATGTCGAGCTCCATGTGCGCTACAACCACATGGGTAAATCTTTTCGCAAAAAAAACACAGGGTAAATCTATAGATGCACGCATGTATCAATGTCAAGGATAAACTATCATGATTGTTGTAAAGCCACACCGATGCACCTTCTTATTATGAGTATTTCCATAAGAATTGGTAAAATAGGAGCTAGGGCTAGGTGTTTTCAACTAGTTTTTTGAGAGTTGAAAGTAGTTAGAACCAAATGAGAACGAACAATCGATAGGATATATATATTTCTTGCCCTATTTCATTCAGATTCATTTTGTTGGACCTACGATCTGAAAATTTTCAGCAAGCACATGCACTTAACTATTGTCATATGTTCCTATACCATGCTTTAGTTCATATATGTCCATGTCTTGCTGCACTTCACACACTTATAACATGCCTTAAGTCGTGCCCACATGCCATGTATTCCTTTATATATTTGTGTCATGCATTGTTTTACATATTGTGTAATGCTTTACTTTAACTATGACATGCTTACTCCGTATAGTTTTGCATGCTTTAAGTATGCTACAACGCTATGCTTTACTTTTGCCTTGATCATGCACTTATGCCATGGTTTACTTCTTGTATTATTTACGTGAAGTGAATATATTAACAACAACACATATAAAGTATTATGCATGTAGGATATTAATCTCATGAATGCCACTCATGCGTTTTTATTTGATACAGGCAGTAATGTATGTGTTTTATTTTTGTAATATGTTCATATACATGTTTGCTGATTTTTTTTATAAGTGTTTGCTGAAATTTTGAAGAACTCATGTACATATGCAATTGGTGTTTATTTTACAACTAAATGGTGCCTGTGGGGGACGGTATAGCACAGTCTATCATACTCCATCCGTCCCAAATTATAAGTCGCTTTGACTTTTTTTAGTTCATCAATTTTGCTATGTATTTAGATATATTGTTTATCGAGATGCATAGCAAAACAGATATAAAAAAAAGTCAAAGCGACTTATAATTTACAACGGATGGAGTATATTATTCATAACAATATGGTATATGCGGTACTGTCCGTTTGACCTTCCACAACCTTCACCACATGGTGACATGGACATAGACACCCGATTTTTTTTTTGTTGAAATGAATGCTGTCGTCCTCGAGATGATTGGTGGATGTGCACGGCCGCAAATGATAAAACTTAAACAAAGTATAAATTAGTAAAGATGTACATATATTAAGCCGCTGACACTATATATAGAAATTGAGAGTTGTACTTTAAAAACTCACAATGTGTTTTTATAAAGGGAAGAGAAGAACGAACGTCCCTGAGTATCAAAGTTGATTTGTTTATGTTATCTATACCATGGACATGATAAAAAAAAAACATAGGTCGCTATATATGGTACTCAATTTACGCTCATTTGTCTAGCTGATAATCGGTTGACTTTCTCCATAGATAATTGGTTGACTTTCTCCACAATGACATGTTGGCACGACTAAAGCAGCGGAAGTGAAACCACTGTTTATTTCTGGATTGGAAGACCACAAAGAATAAGATATCTATATTTAGGTTCAAGTTCTTGCATTTCTAAATATTAGGAACTTGTGGTATGAAGTAACACAAATATATATATATAGACAAGTACATAAGCCTACATGCAGCAAGCCCTCACGGTCTAGGTTCCAACCCCGCTCGACGTAGGTTTCGCACCGGAGTTTTTCTCTATTTTCTTTGCACAAGCGTGGATGTTCGACAATAGTCATAGTACAATGCCTGTCATGCTTGGACCTAGGTTCGAGGCATGTTTCGCACCGAGATTTTTTCTTATTTTGTTCCAAAATAGTCACGGTGCCATGCCCGGTCTGATGATGTGCAAGTACCTCAGTTCGGATACCACATCTTGTAATTAAAGTAACGAGGCAATAAAAAAAATCTGAATGGTTGTGCTCTGGTATATACGGAGTATTGAGGAGAAATGACTCGTCTGGGACTGGAGTCTCAGCTATCTTGGCCTCGGCCTAGAACCGGAAGGCGTCTTTGTTATACGTCCCCTCTGTTTCTGTTCTACTCGAGGAGCTATCAGTTTAGCGCTTAATTAGCACTGCTGCACGTGAGCACCGTCAGCCAGGGGCAGACGGTCCGAGAGGTACATCGACGACGGGACAAGCCACGTCTTGACGACACGATTCTTCTGGCCCTCGCCGAACGCCCACGCTCCGGTGACCTCCTTCCTCGTCAGGTCATACTCCAGGAGCTGGAGCTTCCCCGCCGACCACACGTACACGGCGTCCTTCTCCGGGTGGAACGCCAGGAACCTGGCCTCGCTTCCCCTGCCGCCGCACTCTCCCCTCAGCTCCACGACATCGCCGAGCTTGACGGCGTGCTTCAGCCGCCACTGGAGCGCAGCAGGTGACTCGCCGTCGAGCACCCAGACCTTGAGCCGCAGCGCGCCGTCGGTGGCCACGTAGTGCAGCCGCCCCGCGGAGTGCGCGAGGCGGCCGTCGCCGCCGCCGCCGTCCGCGGGCTCGGGGAGCTCGGCGACCGCGCACGCGAGGCCGCCGGCTTCGGCGGCGGCGACGTCCATGCGCACGACGCAGTCCGGGTCGGAGGCTGGGACGTAGACGGCGCCGGCGTGGAAGTGCACGGAGCCCGAGAGCGAGGCCGCGGGCACGCCGAACTCGGCGTCGCGCAGCGCCCACGCCCGCGTCTCCGACGAGAACACCTCCACCTCGCCCCCGCGGTCGTGCCACCGGCCGGTGAAGTTGACCACGTGGTAGCCGCGGCGGCGCGGGGAGCCGGAGGACGGGTCGAAGGCGAGCATGGACAGGCGCGGGTCCCTTGACGGCGGCGGCAGCGCCGCCCAGTCCCTCGTGACGGGGTCCACGACGTAGAACCTTCTGGTTCCGGCGGCGCGGAGCAGGAGCAGGCCGTTGCAGGCGTCGCAGACGACGGAGACGTCGAGGAACGGGAAGAAGCCGAGGTCGCGGTCCCGGAGCAGGCCGATGCCGGCGCCGTCGCCGGCGGCGGAGCCCGCGCACGCGAACCGTGGCAGCGCCTTGCCGCGGGATGAGGCGTCGTCGTCGTTGTCGGGGAAGTAGACCACGGACAGCTGCAGCGGGAGCCTGCGGCGGAAGTAGCCGTCGGAGACGGTGGCGCACCAGGCCTTGGACACGCACTTGGACCGCGCCACCGAGTCGACGGGCAGCCGGAGGATGATCTCCGCCAGCATGTCGTCGCTCAGGCTGGCCACCACCACGGCACTACTCTCTCTGGCCGCCGCGGAGGTCTTGGTGCTGTCACTGTCGGTGGAAGAATGCCTCTTCAGGATCGCCATTGTTCCGTTCCCGGCTTGGCGAAGCTCGCAGTGAAGCAAAGGCAACAAACGCGACGCGACAGAATGTAAGGATTTGATGCAGGATTGCAGATGCGATGCTCATTTGCTATTCCTGAGTTCACTGGGGCAGTATAAATATAGGTGGCTTCTGATGAGCAACAAGAAACACGAGCACGGAAGGGTTCACCGGTGACGCGACCGTGGAATTGTTTTTTCTCTTGGCGCCGCGCGCACCGGCTCCAGATGTTGGATCGGAACCATCTCGCGGTCGCCTGCGTGTGCGCCGCGTGGTCACTCGGTGGCCGTCAGAGGCCGCATCGCCGTGCCACGTATGTAACGCCCAAGGGCTAAGCCGCTAAGGTGTCCCGCAGGTCCAGACGTGCAGTCCGTTCGGGTTTCTCTTCCTCCGTCTCGCTTCTCGCCTGTTCCACAGCGCCCGCCTGCCCCCGTCTCTCCGGCGGGTGGTGGTGGCCGGCCGGTGAGAGACGAGGAGGGCTGCGCCGACACGGCTGCGCTGCGTACGTGTTCTGCTGATCTGCTGCCTGCGCGCGTCGTCGGAGCGCTGATCTGCTCATTTCGCGCGCGCGCTGCACGCACCGTAACGGAAAAGGAACGTGCGCTCGTTGCTTCGTCCATGAGGCCAGGGTAATTAAGCAAAGAAACCTGCTGCTGATCAAGTGTCTGCCAATAAGGCAGGGGATGGCGACGCGGTGGCGTGTGCACGTCTAACTTCAGTTATTAAAGTCCATGTCCATTGTACATACATAAGCCCCTAAGCATTGCTCTTCCATAGGAGGAGTATAATCGATTATATAATCTTGCTGGTTAATACAAGTGATTAATAGCGTCAAGTAATGAATATGATAAGATGCCGCGACGTCAAGAGTCTTTTGTTTTTTGATGAGATGAGACAGGGTCAAAAACTTTTATAGACGCGAGCTGGTTCTCTAGTGCTGCGGCGCGTCAAAGCTAGCCACCGGCCCCGCTCCGACGTGTCGCCGATTCGACGAGCACGGGTTCACTTCAAACTTATCAACGACGGACCTTTAATTGTTACAGATCAACGTGCAAAAGAGTATACTGCTCTCTTCGTTCTAAATTGTAAGTCACTCTAGCTAAACTTTTACTACAGTATGTATCTAGCGTAGCAAAAGCTATATACTCCGTACAATTTAGAACGGAAGGACGACTACTACATCTTACCAACGTGTCAGCAGCATTTTACTGGAAACAGGTTCCTTCTTTTCTTTAATTTCGTTCCGTTGAGGCAGCTTCGAGTTCATCATCTTCATTTGATGTCTTTTTTCTGCTACTGTTTTTTTATTCGAATGGACATGTAGACCTTAATATAATTAAATGGGCGTCTCACATCATTTGGGGTACCACAGCAACGCCAGCCTTTGGTTAACAGAAGTTTGATTTACGGAACAGCCTCTCCAAAAGTGCCCTGTCTACATCTGGCGTTTTTAAAAACCAGATATATGCCCGTGCGTTGCACTATAGTCACGAATTTTTACCAGCACCTACGCCGACATATTTGATCATTTTATAAAAAATAATAGAAAGCTAATAAACAATTTAGCATTGGGAAGCCCTAATCTATTTTTCAAATCCATTCAGGCCTTGTCTATTTTTTCTCTCTAGTTATTTGAAGTGTAACTGTTTTTTAGTTATTTTTCATCTGGGTGGTTGTGCTTGTCTCTCTGTTGAATAGGATTCATTAGTAGACGTGGAACTGCAAGTTTGCATGGACATGGCCTGGCGTAGAGAGCAAGCAGAGAAATATCTCTTCTGGACAGTGGCGGACCTAGGATTTATTCATAGGGTAATGATGCACATATTTTCATATGTAGTTCGGTAAAAACCTTTTACCAAATCATTAAAAATCATTTACCAATTCGGTAAACAATTGTTAATTAGCAACATAATTCATTATACAAGGACTAAATAATATATAAATTTACCAAATTACAGTATAAATAGTTCAAATCCATTACTGATAGTTTAGAATAAATAAAAACATTAAAGTGACTTACAATACTACTCATCCAATTTTTTTGCCGCCACTTTCTCAATGTGTTGATTATATCATATTCATCCACCTCAAAGAGAATATCTTGCTCAATGAATGTGTATATTGGGGGTACCATGATGTAAAATGCGATGATAGAATTGTAGTTCATAAAAATTCACATGATATATTATCTTCTAAATATTATTGTTGGGCGAACCGTAAAACAATCTCTAACCCAACGATGAATAATATGGATAATGTTTCTAACACACAGATAATTGTTCATAAGTAATTATGCATGCAAGTTTTTTAGAAAAAAAGTACATGATTTAAGTCTTCACGCCTTGAACAAGTTCTTTTAGAAAAAAAAAACAGAAATGCTATATACTGCCCGGTTATTCTGTTGTCTTTGAATAACCGATTCTGTAGCCGTTCGATCTGTTTTGTTCATTGTTTGTGGAGCGTCCGATCTTCTTCTGCGGTGCGCCATCGTTTTTGTTTCATTGACATGTTGGGCCCATTTGTTTTGATTTTTTGGGTACTCGCGCCCGAAGCTGTGCCATCCGTTTTCCCCTTTCCCCATTTTCATTTCCCTTCGTCTTCCTAGGGTAGTCGAGGCGACTCGCCGTTCCCCTCCCCTCGCGCAGGCGACCCGGCGCCGCCCGTGGCGGCGACTTGCGCGCCCCCCGTCGAGGATATTGGTCGCTGCCCCATCGCATCGACCGGTCGCTCCCCCGTGGCGTTGACTCGTAGCTCGTCTTCTTTTTGTGGACCAGCGATTTGTAGGGTTTCTCGAGCTAAGTTCTCTCGCACCCCTTGTTTTGATTCGTTGTTAATGTGATCTCGTGGTTGGATCTATTTTTGTTTGTGTGTTTCTGTGCAATGCGTTTAGGCGACAGGTATCGCAGATCTAGTGTGTATTTGTGTTACTCTTGTTCAGATTCTAGTCTCAATGGCAGTTGTGTTTCATTTTCGTCGTCTAGGGTTTCTCCCATAGTGGTTGTTGCGGAGGATTCGGTTTAGTTCGATGTTGGATCTGAGAATCCCATTCTGTGTTGAGTTTTAGGAGTTTTTGGTATCCTCCTTGTGTTTTTGGGGTGTTCGATGCAGGACACCATGTTCATTTTGTTTGATTTTGAAGTGCAGTATTTTTGTGAGTACTAGCTAGTATGTGATCTATGATCCATCCATCGTTTTTGCCTTACTTGCCTCGGTTGGTAGGAGTAAGGACCTAGCTAGATTTGCTTGCTTGCTGCTAGTATTTCGCCCACCTGCTCTGCTCTGCTAGTCTGTTAGTACCCACCTCGTAATATTTGCCTACCTGCTCTGCTCTTGAAGTCTGTTTTACTGTCATTTGGTTATGGTTGGTGACGATTGCAACGAAACAATTCGATTCGTCTCAGCATGCACCCCCACCACTAACACAAAGGCAAGACTCTGTTGTCATTCCATTTTTAGTTTTCAGTTTCATTTTCAACGTTTTTGATACTTTCAAATGCTACCTGATGCCTAAAATTGTATTTGTTAGTTTATTGGTATGTCTTTGATTTAGTTTAATTGCAGTTACCTGAACACCAGTTACCTGTTTGCTTGATTTTGCAGTTTTTATTTATGTATGCTAATTCGTTTTTTTGTTTTATTTCCATTAGATGATCTGCAGTTTGTTTTCATTTTTAGTGTTTTATATGTAGGTTAAATGTTCATAATTAGTTTCAGTCTGTATTGGAGAGGGAAGAAGTGCCTGATTAAGCGTTTGAGCTTTTCAGATTGTATAAAGGATATGATTTTTTTTGTGGTGTTTTGGTATGTTTTTTTATCTAATTAGGGTAATCCCATATATGTGTTTTTTCAATTCAGGATTTGTGTTTTGGTAAAATTGGACTTCATTGTTAGGCACCTATTTTTTTCATCGGTGCAGATTTTTCCAATTTCTTTTTTTGAATTGGCCAGCATTTCAATTAGTCCTTTGACTCGTCAGGTTATTTTTTTTTGTTCTAATTTTTTCAGGTATCGATGGCTGATAGGAGCAATTGTTTCCGTGTAGTTGAGGAAAGTACTCGAGCAGCGCAAGGTCACAAAGGTTTTGAACCTGTGTGTGTTGTACTAGCTGTATGAGTGATAAATATTTTGTTCTTATTTTTTTGTTTTGTTTTCAGTCATTCATTTGTACGGCAAATATCAATTTGTTGGAGGAATTTCTTGTTTTTTGCAAATCCAAGGTATTTTTTTTGCCCTCCCCTGTTTTTCTGCTTTCCATTTTTTTGGCTCGTGCAACAGTTTGTTTTTTCTACATTCTTTTAGAAAATGAATGAGGCCAATGGAGTCTCCCGAGAAGTTAATGGAGTTTGTAATGATCAAGATTAGGTTTGTTTTTTGAGTTAGTTTTTTTTAATCTCTGTTGTTTAATGTATTCTTTTTTTGCACAATATAGGCTAATGGTGAATCAATGGGATTCAGGGAGAAGCTTACTATGTATTTTGGTTTTTTTTGCCTGAAAATGTAATTTATTTTGTCTGTATACCTTTTCTTTTTATGTTCCTTGTTTATTTTCACTTCATTTTCATTGTTTTCTTTTTTCCTTAAGGTGGTTGATGAGTTATGCAAGCTTGTTCAGGAGAATTCATATGGGAAGTGCAGTTTCTGTTTGTTGCCCACTGAGAGTCTAATTCTCAGCGTTCTTCAGTTTCTCTTAGATGCTGCACAGAACGCCAATGAGGTGAAAGAGAAAAACGTTGTCCCCCTAGCTTTCCTCAAAACAGCAGAGTCAATGATATTAATAAGTTTGTTCCATCAGTTGTGAGAGGTATTCCTTTTCTTTTTTGGTTTGAATCTTTTGCTGATCACATTATGTTTTTTAGTTTTGTATGATATTTTAAAGTCTACTTTTAACAACGCAGATAATCGGCATAGTTCAGATAAGTCCAATAGACACATTGTTGAAGAAAATTTCACAGCCAGCAAGCCTATAGGAAACAAACAGAATGTG